CCCCGGCGATCTCTCGCCCGTGTAATTACTCCGGCTCTCTTTCGCCGCCGCCACCGAAGATCTATGGGACAGTTGACGCGCCGCGAAGAAGCGAAATGCAGTCGCGAACGGGGACGCCGCCGGCCGAGCCCGGACCCGGCAATTACACGCGATTCGCGTAATCGTAAAACGAAGCGCCGAGTGCGAGAGAGAGAGAGAGAGAGAGAGAGAGAGAGTTCCTCTCTTCTTCTATGCGCGAAACCTCGTCGTCGTAGCCGGCGAAGTAAGCGTGCCGTAAATCAACCGACTTGTACAACGAGCGAGAGCGAGAAGCGAGATGAGACGAGAGGCGAAGTGAGACGCACCTTGGCGAAGAGAGGCGCGAGAGGCTCGGATGCAAAGATGCATCCCGTGATTGCACCAAGTACGACGATTCGTCGGGAATTTATCCGTCGCGATAGAGCTCAACGCGTGCGGCCCAGGACGGTGTGCTGTCGATGTGTATACGATACCTCGCGATTTTCGCGAGTTTCTCAGCTACCTTTGCCTCTTCGCGTGTATACCGTGAAGTATCAATCTACGAATTTACGATGACACCACGTGAAGTCTCTTCGATTTTAATCGAGATCTTTCGGAAGACATTCTAAAAGAACATTGCTAAAAGAACAGAAGGTAGTGTGTCTACGCTGCAAACATACCACCCAATATCGCCATCGAACATCGGCAGCCGGCCGCGCCGCGCGGTCGAGCCGGCGTTACGTCACCGGTCGCAGGTGCAGTTCGGGTGCAACCTGCGATCCGGCGCACCCACGAGAGAGGCATCGAGAGCACGACGGCGCGGCGCGCTGCTCAGAAGCGGAGCAAGAAGAGTTTGCGATAACGCGGCGCGGTGAAGAAAGAGGGCGAAGGAAGCTGAAGAGGCAGAAGACGCAAGAAGAAGAAGCAACAGAAGAAGTAGGAGGAGGAGGAGGAGGAGGAGGAGGAGGAGGAGGAGGAGGAGGAGGAGGAGGAGGAAGAAGAAGAAGAAGAAGGTCGAGTCGCGGAGACGCAAAGGTGGAAGCACAGGAGGACGAGGAGGAGAAACAGGAGGGGGTGACGGAGGAGGAGGAAAAGGTGAGAGGAGCTCGAGCATGAAACGCGTGACGAGGACGGAGAGAACGAACGGCTGTTCGGTGCTCCGCCCCAGGTACACGGCAAACATGGCCGCTGAGGGACGGATTGGCGGAGGCCAACCGCGACGCCGACGTCGTCGTGACGCCCGCGCTTCACTCAGGTCGGCTCAAACTCAACGGACTTCGTTCACGTCGCTTCTACGGCACTCCTCCGGTTCGAGCGGTCGCCGCCCACCCTTCTTCAGCTTTCCCCTTCCGCTTCGCGGCGGCGAGTTCCTCGTCCCGAAGTTACCACACCACAGCAAAGTTGCACGTGTGGCGTACGCACGCACTCACGCACGCGGCACCTCGCGCGGTCTTCGCTCGCTCGTTGGCTCGCCGATCGCCGATCGCCGATCGCCGCGCGCCGATCGCCGCGCGCGATTTCGGCGCACCCGCGATCGTAACGCGACATCACGATCGCGGCGGAATCGCCGCGGGCCCTTCGCCGCTCGTATGTCGTCCCGATACTTAATCGATGTCTCTTACGTCGCTTGCGTATGCGTTACCACGAATGTCCGGGCTTGTATAACGAGCCTGATGGGGTAATTTGCATAGAAAGTGGACGCGCGTTGACGAGATCGGGAAGGGAGGAATGATAAATCTCTCATCGGGGATCTCTCTCTCTCTCTCTCTCTCTCTCTCTCTCCCGATGTAGCGCGATATGATAAAAAGTCGTCGCGGCGACGTATCCGCGAGGTAATAAATGAAGATTTATGCTCGCCCGAGTGGTACCTGACCCAATCTCACTTGTTACAGTTGCCGTTGTTACTATATTGTTGCAACTCGTGTAACAATGTCCGAAATATCCCGAAGTGTGCAATAAGAAAGAGAAATAATGCGGTATAAGAGCAGTGTCTCCTCCCGACGGTGCTTGGTGCTTGGTCTGGAATTAGGAGTGGAAAGAAGCGGGAGTATCGTACGGGGGGATGTTTTGCCTTTTCAGACGAAAATATTAAATGTCCCAGTTTCGAAGTGACAGTATGTATTACGCCGGTCGTACGAGACCTAACTGCAAATTGCAAGGATGCTATTTGCAGCGCATCGCTCGGCGGAAATATGGTGTATTATTAGACCACAGGATGTAGATCGTTCGTTGCTTTCCGAAGCAGTCACGGTTGCAACCAAGTTGCAAGCCGCGAGGCGTTGCGAGAATGCGCTCGAGAGTGCACGATGCATGACAAATATCGCACTCTAATGCAGGTGCACTCCCCGCAGATTTATCTTGGCTCGTTCGTGCCAATGCGCGAAACTCGCTCCCGATGAGCAATTAAACTTCCTAATGTAATTTACATTAGCTTTTTCTCTTTCTCCCTGCTCTCTCAAGGAAGACTCTACGCCCATGCGCTGCACGGGAGATATGGCAACGCGATAAATTTCGCAGGGCGATTAATTAGCGCAACTGTGCCGAAGGATTTGAACGTTTACGTTTATCGTCGTCTCGTCTTTCTCACTTCGCATAATTGAAACAACGGCAGATATATGCGTGTGTTTCCGACCGCACGTTCGTAGGGTCGCGAAAGATATGAAAAGTCCTGGCTCACCGACGAAAAAATAAGAAACAGGAAGAGATCCATCCTAATTAAATTTAATCTCGGGATACGCGCGAGAGAAAGAGAGAGGGGGGGAGAGAGAGAGAGAGAGTCCCGCGCAGGTACGAGCTCACGGATTCCGAATTATCGCGTTCCCCTTTCGTTTCGAGTTTAATTTCTCAGGCGGGAGGTAACGCGCGCACAGTTGCTTCGGGATGCCGGGTATCCGGTTGATTAAATATCTTTTTGGTTTTACCTTTAATCTCAGGCAAGCTGTGCGCACTCGAGAGAGCCGCGGCACGGAGCCGCAGTCGGAGAAGATTCCGGGTGAGCGACGTGGCTTGAGTCGGCGATTCGTCGCGCTTCTCGAGCGTACGGAGCGGCGTAGATACGTGCCTGTAAAAAAGCTCGCGTATAATAATTCACCGACAGCAGACAGGAAAGCGATGGGGGTCGTAGCCGTTATTAGAGAAGTACGCGAAAGCTCGGGCGGTTACATTTGGAAAATGCCGATTGTTATTGCCGTCGGCTAATGGACAACGCTGACGTATGCGCGTGAAACTTAAGTTATATCGCGCGTATACGAGTGCGAGTGCGCGGCGGAGCGAAGAAGCTGAAACGAGCCGCCACCTGTTGATCCTTGGCAGCTACTCGATATTTATGCATACGCGGCGAAATATCGCTTAAAGCGCGCACACGTTGCGACATTAGCATAAGCTCATATATGGCGATCCGCGCGGCCGCGCGCAGCTACCGGCTGTCGTATAAATATGCTCAAGTCCGATTCGCGTCGTCTTTGTCATCGAGAAGTAATTTCTCCGTACGTCGTATAGAAAATATACGCCCGATTACGAGCTACTGTTACTTCCGTCGCGAGTGTTCACAATCGCGAAGGCGTGAAGTAACTTGGTTCAATCGCGTAAAGCGAGTAGCAATGGCAACACTTTGCTCACCTTTTTTCCCCTTCGCGCTTGGATGCTGGATACTTTCTTCTTGGGCCTTGAAGTTGGGTTAAAGTTCTATTGAAAGCAGAGGATACTATATCAGAGAGAATGCGGGTCGAAAAGTGAAATTCTTAATTAGGAAATTGGGATGTTTGCTTACCGTCTACTAAAGTTTTGCGACCAAGTTTGATCTTCAATCTTTGGTTATAAGAAAATTTATGCGGGCAACGTATTTTTACAAAAGAGGATAAGACACTATAAAATAGACATAGACGACATAAATTAGTGGCGAAAGTTATTGAGTGATATTACACATCTCCACTGCAGGGAGCAGCACCTAACTAAGACTTACTCGGCGCCATCTATGCGTCCTTTGGAAGCAGCTTGATATTTTCTGTCCTCTCTATTAGTTACCATCTATTAATTGCCTGAAAAGAAGAAATTGTTTCTACAAACATATTGATTATAATATTTTATATATTTTGCCGAAACATTATAATCATTCGTGAGAATTGCTATTTTCATCTTTCCGATTTACCCTTGGATGATATACTTGTCCTCAGTCGCTTTAGTTATCATATCACAAAAACATTAAGATTGAGAAACGATTTTTGGTAAAGATAGAAAGTTTATTTTGGGCAATAATAAACTATGTTTAGACTGTAACTATGAGAAATTATTTCCTCGTATCTTCACAAGACTAAACAAAGTTAAGTTAAAGGATGATGATGATATCAAAATGTAGAACCACTCACTCAAAGGGTTTATATCTCGGCTGAATAAGGTTACAAGTCTCGGCTAAATGACTTGTTTCGATAAGCAGATCACATTTATTAGTTTCAAAACTGGTTATTACAAGCCGCTACCGTTTTGAGATCCCTTGTGAAAACTGATGAAATAAGTACAGGGCTCCTTTCCTCTCTGTTTTTTTTTTTTTATCAAAATACACAGATAATTACCTTATAATATTTGTAATCAGGAGAAATATTCGCAAAAGGGGTGCGCAAAGCCGTTGACGAGGTAATGACCAAAGATCGTCAGCCCTGGATAAATTTTCGTATTGGCAAAGGGGCCTGTGTGTGTATGTGAGAGGCCCGGTAGTGATTCAAGAGTGATGACCGTACCGATTGTTTTAGCCGAAGATAACCCAAATATATATGCCATATCACATTTCGATTACCACGACGATACAAATTACCAATGATACACAAATATCGTTTAAATGTATAATTATTATTATTACTCCTTATCTAGTATTATATATGCTTATTTTGTGTTACAGCTTCCTATTCCAGCCACGTTATTTCCAGGAGGGCGTTAGCGCTTAGCGAGTTTTCTCTGGTTCTGATGAATTCTCAATCACATAAGACTAACGGTTTTTATTAGTATCTAGTCGGTGCCAATAGTGTCTTTATTAATGTCTCGTCGGTGCTAGAAACAAGAGATAAAATTTTGAAATTGCAAGAAAATAATCGATTCTGTAATGAAAGAGTCGAATATAAGATCGACGTAACGGTCGATCATCACTCGTTTCTAATTACAGCTGATTTACTATATACAATACGTTTGGTTTCATGCGTCATGTATTCGTAAATAACAACGTGCAGTTTTGGTACAGTTGTGTAGTGAGCAGCAGCTTTCTTCGGTTCTTCTGGATAATAATAATCAACGTACACAATGGTGGACATGAAGACGAACGTGAATTTTGCATGCCAACGATGTCTACAGCCTCTTAGACTCGATTCCAGTTTTGATCATCTCGGGGAGCATACGCTTGCCGAACTTTCACGTAGGTAATTTCGTATTGGTAATATCACCGTTTGATACTCAGTTTAATATCATAACAAGATATAATCACATATTTATATGCTTATACAGTTCCTATACAGCAGCAAGTGGTCGGAGGGTTAGAAACCCAGAGCGATAGCATAGAACACTTGGTACCACCATTCAGACTGACCGAATCAGGAAACGGTACTAATGGATTTATGTTAGTTGGTGATTCCGGGGAAAATGAGAGTTTAAGTCATCATCTGAAGGTACGGAAGTGTTTGAAAGCGAAACATATATATATATATATGTTGCTTTAATTTCTGTATGTTTTTCAGGTACGAGCAACATTATTTGATATTCTCAGTAGTAGCAGCTCAGCAGATCATCCTCTTTGCGATGAGTGTACAGACAGCCTGTTGATAATAATGGATCAGCAATTACGTATGACAGAAGGAGAATGGTCAGATTACAATGAGTACCTGAAGAAGCTAGAAATGGAACAGCAATTCCAGGGACATGAGGATGTAGAAATGGAAAATCTGGTAAAGGAATTACAAGATGTACAGTCTGAAGAACATAGAATGATAAGAGAACTGGAAGCATTGAGGAAAGAGGAGATAGCCACTAAAAATGCCATAGCACAACAGGAGAGAGAGAGGGAGAGATTACAAAGCGAAGAGGAAAGGTATTGGAAGGAATATTCCAAACACAAACGAGACGCCCTCTTAGCTGAAGATGAGTGTCGCAGGTGAATGAAATTTCCTAAGAGGGAATTAATTTTATGCAAAATTAGAGGTGTGTTTGCGTCGCTTGCACTTTGACACTTCTACACCTAATGCCCGTTGCGTACCAGAAATGCGATGAGCGAGATTCAATGAGAGCTCTTCTTGCTGTAGAGAAAGAATCCAGTGCGCAACAAGCGTTAGGTATAGGTAAAAGTGTAAAAAGTGCAGGCAACGCGAACAAACGTTAGATAAACGTCAGATGTGCATATTTGATGTCAAATGTGGATACGATATTCGCTTGTTAGAATTTTATACCTGTTAAAGTTTTGCTGTTATTTTAAATTGAATATTCTTTCAGTCTAGAATGTCAATTGGCATATGCAGCTTCGCAGCTTGAAAGGCTGAAAAAAACGAACGTCTTTAATGCCACATTCCACATCTGGCATTCAGGTCACTTTGGAACGATTAATTCGTTTAGATTAGGTCGGTTGCCGAGTGTACCGGTAGACTGGAGTGAAATAAACGCAGCATGGGGACAAACGACGCTTTTGCTATCATCTCTTGCGCGCAAAATGAACTTGACATTTAAGCGTTTCCGTCTTGTGCCGTTTGGCAATCACAGTTACATCGAGGCGTTGGATCAAAACAAGGAACTTCCTTTATATGGAAGTGGTGGATTCAAGTTCTTGTGGGACACGAAATTCGATGCAGCTATGGTGGCGTTCCTGGATTGTTTACAACAATTTAAGGAACAGGTGGAGAAAGGTGACAGTGGATTTTGTCTACCGTACAGAATGGATCGCGGTAAAATAGAAGACACCGCAACGGGCAACTCCTACTCCATAAAGTACGTGTATCTAAACATGAATGTCCTCATCTACGACTGAAAGATTTATCTATATGAAACATTCCATTTAATACCTTTACATTCTCTTATTAGAATACAGTTTAATTCAGAGGAACAGTGGACCAAGGCTTTGAAATTTTTACTAACCAATTTAAAATGGGGTCTCGCCTGGGTGAGTTCTCAGTTCACAAAAGACGAATTGAGTAATTGAGCATCGGTTTTTGTGATTTTGTGTAAATTGGATTATACAAATTGTCTCGCGCGTGGCTGCTTGTGTACATATGCTTTATTTTAAATAAATTCAACTGAATGGTAACATTTTTGATTATTGTCTGGTAATCAACTCAAAACTGTTGTAACATTAACAGTCAACATTTTATTCATATAATTTATAATTCTTTATTCTAAGTAGCTACTCTTTTAGATTTATCCTAGGTAACACAACGGAGAAATGAATGTCTTTTTTTTTTTTTCCCCATTTTTACCTAAGAACAATATTCAGATTTATTAAGTAGAAACCAAGTTATACCAAAGAGGAAGCTAGAGGGACTTGTTATTTCCTTAGATTTCACATAATCCTTCAATTCTGGAACGCTGAATTCCACCACTTCTATGAGCTCACCTTCAGCCTCAGAACCTCCACCTGGTATGATGACAGATTCAAGTTGGGTAAACTAAAGAATCTTTGTATACACAAGATATGGTTTATTGATGGTATTACAAAAAAATATTGTCCTTGAAAGCTGTGTTGACAAGAGTTCATCTGGAACATGATATTGAAATTTAAACTTACCTGGATGTACGAGCATATCGTCCGTGACTTCTACATAGAAAAGTGTTTGCTTTGCACTGGCAGAAGCACTAGATCTGGAAGAAGCATCACAGGAATAATATATTTTTCATCACTATTTTTCTCAATATATTCATTTTCTTCGTTGAAACATTTCTGTGTAAAACAGACAAGATTTACTGAAAGAACAGTGTGAATTACGCTAGAAATCATTGGTCTCGCACTTATTACTTGGTTTTCTCTGATACGACAGAATCAGGAAATTATAATCAGGATGTGTGTGAGAATTATCTGAAACTAATACCTGTAGGTAATAATTTGGGTGAACGCTGATATAGGTGCCTCGTAGCCGCACTCCTCTTCCAGCTCCTCCTTTGCTATCTCTACAAGAGGCTTATCCTTATCTATAATGCCAGCGCAGAGCTCCAAGGACAATCCCAATGCTGCGGGATAACGCTCGACGTCGATCTCGTTCTGCTTCTCCGGTAACGACCAGCAATACACCGCCGGCCGAAATTGCCTGACAAACACGAGCTTCTTTCGAGTTGTATTGAAGATCACCATAGTCACGCTGTCATGGGCCCTTATCACGTCCCATTGTTTACGTTGACCACTTTGCGTGTAATGCACGCGCACGGTTCGTATCCACGGCGAATCCTGCGGAATCTGTCCCATGCAAACATCGTGCAGATCGAGGATCCTCTCGCGTATGACCGCATTCCTCTCGTCCTGTGCCCTGATATTCATCGTTATCTTCGTAACTGTCAAAGTACCGCGAGCGATATTCTCCGCGCACGTCGATACCTACCGACTCTCTCTCTCCAGGGAGATATTAAATAGTTTTATCGCGCGCGAACTATAGATGTCGCGTGCAGCACTAAACTGAGCGTCGAGATTTGAAATTGTTGAGATGGTCTTAAATATGTCGTCCGTTAACGACAATATATCCGCGCGTTGTTGCTCTCCTAGTTTTCGCGACATTCGGTTAATTTCGTGTGACATTCTTTCCGATTCGAGTGTGGAACGCGGAATGCGGAATTGCTCCTCCGATCAGCGCGATAAATTCTGTTCCCGGTGAGCTCTGCTGCTGTGTCGTATTCAAGTCGGTTGTAAATAAGGTTAGTCCCTACATACACACACACACACACATCCATAGAATGCCTCGAGACAATGCTTAATTTCGATGTACGTTTTATTGACGACACAACGCGCGACAACATCAAACGCTGTTTCTTTCTCCCATTGATAATGACATTCCCGATTTAAACTCACGAGCAACGTCGATCTACAGGCACGATGTGCCTGAAGATTGATCACGTATACACGGACGCGCGTAGAACCCGCGATTGCCGTTTCCGTCTTCAGGTAACATCGGTTACTCCGTTACCGCGATAGAAATGTGTAGTGAGCGATGCGCGATCGGTAGGGTCCTATTTTCTCTCTCTCTCTCTCTCTCTCTCTCTCTCCCCCCCCCTCTCTCTCTCTCTCTCTCTCGGTGCATTATTTTCACAATTTTCACACAAAGCCGTTGTTACAATCGCCGCATCCCTTGTCGAGATCGCTCGTCGGCTTACACACACGCAACGCAACGTAGAGCAGAATTCTCGCAACGGCTTTGTTATCTCTTCCGTCTTTTTTCCTTCTTCTCGATCTTCCCTTTCTTCTCCTTCTTCACTCTGGGCGTTTCAGCCGGCTTGAGGGCGTCCAATATCTCCTGCTGCCTCACTTGAGTGTCCACATGAACCACGTCCGGCTTCCTGCGGTACCTGTTGACCGCCGCGGGTGGTGAGAACTCGATCTCCATGTCCGACGCCGTGGAGCTCGACGCTACGGACGCGTCGTTCCGGCTTCTCGCAATCTTGAACTGCAGCGGCTTCGTCGGCTCCTCCAGCCGCGGCGTGTAATCCGTCGTCTCCCCCTTGATCGGGTACATGGTCACGTAGTAAGTGCCGTCCTTCCGATGAATATGCAGGGTCGGCGGCGGCTCCATCTCCTCCTCACCCTCCTTCGTCTGCTTCGCCGACGGGTAGTTGATGGTTTTGTAGGTTTTGCCACGGCGAACGATGGTGTACGAGGACACCGACCTCGCTCGGCTGTCCTCCAGGGAGCCCGCCTTAGCCTCCTTCAGCAACTCGTACAGATAACGTTCGATCGCGCCTGGTCTCCAGCCGATTCGCGGCTTTAGTTTGCCCACTGTGTCTCTCGTGTTCCACAACCAGCCCATGTTCGCCGGCACGCGCATTCGCGGATCAATGCAGTTCTTGTGGCCGAAAGTGATGCCGGGGTAAACCTCGCCGATCGTGTAAACGTAACGCATCACTCGCTTGCTAACCTTAACGGGGGGGAGCCTTAACACCTTCCCGGCGTCGCGGTCGCCAGCAGGACCCGGGCTCGGCTTCCTCCTCGGATATCGGCCCCATTCACCACCGGGTTTGCCGGCGTCGGTGCTCCTCACGGGAATCGCGGTACTCGTCGGTGGTTTCGGTTGCTGCTGCTGCTCCATCGTCGTCGTCGTCGTCGTCGTCGTCGTCGTCCGCGTTTTCTGCGAATTCGCGTTCGCGTTGCCCGGCTGCGCCGGCCGACTGTTGCCTCCGTCGGGTGTCCTCCGTCGGGATTTGCACTTGGGCTCACCACAGGGACCGACTTCGACGTCCGACGGCGCGGACGTCGCGACGTCCGCTTCCTTCTGTTTCTCCGCCTTCTCCGCTTCCTTCTTGTCCTCTTTCTTCTTCGACCTGACGCCAAGCGGGAGCAACGGCGCTTCCGTCGGCAACGTCGGCACCGCCTCGCGCACGACACCGCCGGCGCGTCCCGGTGCCGCGATCGTCGTCGTCGTCGCGGTGACGGGAACGTAGGGGTATACCGGAGGGGGGGCGACTTTAGTGATTTGAGCGTTGCATTGCGGAGCGGTGCATCGCAAGGTCGGCGAAGCCACCGTTGCTGCCACCGCCGCGGGGTAACCTCGCCTCGGCGTCTCCAGGACTCTGAAATCGCGATCTCTCGCGATCGCGTCTCGGCCGAAGTAAGGGCTTTCGGATGGATCCATTAGACCGAGACCCGCCAAGCCTGCCACTTTGCCGAGGGAGTCTACGAAATTCTGAGCCTCCCTGAAAGCGCGTATCATGCAGTCCGCACCCACGCATGGTTTTTTCGCGCACTTAGTCGTGCCGGTTCTTCCGGGCAACGGATCTCTCCCCGGACAGTAGCATCCGATCGTGGGCCCGTCCGCGGGTCTCGGGCGGGGTTTGCACACGGCGCCTTGGCTCGTTTCCTTGTTCTTCTCGTACAAGACGGTGGTAACCATTTCGGAAGGCGGATGCGCGTCCTCGCTCCCGCCCATCAAACGTGGCCGCAACTGGACGTAATCACCGTCGTTCCACGAACGCAATCGAACCACGTCGCGTTTAGCGACGTGGTTGCCTCCCTTGTCGCCACCGCCTCTCATCCTCGCGGGATCGTCGGGACGACGCTTGACTCCTTCCTCAACGTCGCTCGACTTCAGACACTGGTCGGTTGCAGGCGACTCGGCGGCGTACCGCACGTCGTCGCCGTTGCTCTTGAGGATATCGGGATTCCGTAGAGCCATGCAGCAAGAACGGAGGCACCCGGAGCGACACACGAGAGGATGCGTCGAACGGTGCGTCGGTAGGCACGAGCAAGTGGGCTCGTCGGGATAAGCTGCGTAAACCAAAGCGCGGTATCTGCGATCGTTGAGTTTCTCGGCGCTCGTCAGCTTCTCGAAACCCGGCTGGCCTATCGACACCCGCGGCGGCGACCGCAGCCTCGTTAACACGGGGCTCGTGTCCGTGCGGTCTTCTCGGCGGTCGCGCGCTTTTGGAGCGCTGCTGCTCGGCGACGACGGCAACCGGGTACCGTCGTCGTCGTCGTCGTCGTCGTCGTGTTCTCTGGCTCTCTTGGCCTCGTCTTGGCCTTCGTCGCTTTCGGCGCGGCGAAACTTCTCACCGAGCGGGAAACCTTCAAATACGAGCGATCCTTCGCGAATCGCAAGGTGATCCACAATGGAGCTCCCGAAGCACGACAGTCTGAGGTGGAGCGACGCGGATCCGCAGGGCGTACCTCGCTCGTCGGTCAGCGTGTACGTTGTTCCCCTGAGCGTGCACGGTTCCGGTAGCCCGTCCATCTTGCCCTTGGCCTCGGCCACGCGGTCGCAGAAACATCCCGGCAGAAATGCCGTTGCCGCGCAAAGAAGAATCCGGCTGTCATCGCGCGAATTACGGTGCCGCTTCTCCCCCCCCGTTCCCCGTAAACGGCCGATTCGATACACCTCGACACTCAGAGGAGTCGATCTTACAGATCGTATTAAATTGCTCGGCGTACGGACGAACAGCCAGGACTTACCCGACTGGCCGGCGCGTTCATCGAGCGAGCGACTTTCTTTGTTCTCGCATCTTTCATCGCCGGCAGCCTTGATGAATAATTCCTCGTCGATGATATCGACAGGCGTGAGATCAATAAGTTCTACGCGCACCATCAGACGGTCGCCGTCGTCGACATTTTTCCCAGGACGCAGATCTACGCGCTCCACGAGAACCTCGAGCATATACAACTGCTTCGCTTGAGACTTGCAGATTTTCCTCTTCTTCAGGGCCATGCTTCCCTGCGACTGGACGTTCACAAGCTACCGCCGGCGCACAACAAATTTAGAGAGCTTCGTCGGTCGTGAATCGGCGTTAACGATATCCCTGACGACGAATTGCGCCATTAATTTTGCGAAATGTCCCGGGGCCGGAAGTCGGACGCGCGCGCGCGCGCGTGCGTGCGTGCGTGCGTGCGTGCGTGCGTGCGGGTGCGTGAAGGCCGAGGAGTCGAAGAGTCGAACTGTGACGTGTTTCTAATTGTCAGACGGTCGCCACGGCGACGGGTCTATCGAGAATAATCACTCGGCAATTGCAAAGAATCGCCCACTTCAGGGCGCGGGGTACTCTCTTTTTCCTCCCCACCCTCCTCCGCTCTCTGGTCCCCGGACTTTCTCCACCTTATTTCTTCGTCCTCTTGGCAGCCGCCTTGCCTCTTCCCTTTTTCTTCTTCTTCCGTTTCGCTGCTTTCGGCGTCGGGCCGATATCCGGCTGCTGCGGCCGCGGCGTTTCTTCCTGGGGGAGAAATTCAGGCGGCACGTACCGCTTCACGTACACCTCCCGTTCCTCCCTGTCCTCGCCCTCGGCAAGAACGAGAGACTTGGGGTGCAGCTCGTAGTGCGTCGGGGAGAAGCTGCCGAGGCACGTGATCGTGAGTTCCATGTGCAGCGTGCCGGACGGATCGTCGCCCGGGTCGAGCAGGTGGAAGCCCCCCTTCACCGTGAACGGCCGCGGCAGATTGGCGGGCTCGTTGGCGATCACGGCGAGCTGATCGCACAGGCAACCCGGCAATGATAATTCGGTCTCCGCGGTGGGGTAGGTGTCACCCGCGCGGAACACCCCGGCTCTCATGCTCGTCGAGCGTAGATCGCGGACCAGATCGCGCGGCTGCTTGACGAACAGGCAGCTTTTGCCGCTGGCGAAGCGCACACCGCCCCCGTCACCCGGCGATTCTGCCTTCGACGCGTCCGTCTGATGGCGCGTGATCTCGAACACGGGCAGATCCAACAGCTTGATCCTGATCGCGATAGGGTGCCCGGCGATGTCTTTGATTTTGCCGGGCGTCAACGTCAGTCTGTCGATCAGTATCTCGATTAGATAGATCTGCTCGTCGTGGCCGCCGAAGCAGGACATGACGTGACTCGAGGCGGCTTCGCGCGGCGGATTGAGTCGTATCTGCGGTTAAGGTGAATTCGACACGAGTCGCCTCGGTGACGAACCGCGGGAACTTCGCGGCGGAAGTCTCGAGCGTCCGAGACGACTCACGGGCTTCTTCGCCGGAGATTTGGAGGTTGCCAAGAGAGTATCGCGGACGATTGACAAGTGGGAGAAGTGACAGTCGAACCATCGCGGTTTCGCGTAAATCGACGTGATGATTGTCCGATTAATTCGATCGATTCGTACGTTTTTTTTTTCCATCGCCCACTCCTCACCTCTCTCTCTCTCTCTCTCTCTCTCTCTCCCCCTCTCTCTCTCTCTCTCTCTCTCTCTCCCTCCCTCTCTCTTTCCTCGCTGCACGTAACACGCACGTAACCGCGCGCCGTTTCGTTGAATCTCACTGCGCGACACAAATCAGACTCTGCGGGTTAGACTTCGCAAATTAGATTTCGCCGAGGGAAGCGCACGAGACGAGATAGCGATCGAAGAAGATTAATTCAATCGGCGCTGTGTACGAAATATTTCTGAGCGCACGCGCGCGCGTTAGCGAGGAAAGATTTTAAATACCCGTCTCTCGCGCGCGGCTCTTTCTCACTTCCGCGTGCAACACACACACACACACACACGTGCGCATATACGCTCGCGCACCGTCATCGACGCGCGACGGCGGAGAGAAAAAAAAAAACTATCAACTTACGGTCACGTACATCCCATCCACTATCCGCGACTCTTCGGCGTTTCTAATTCCATTGGCAGTTATTACTTAGCTCCCACAGTGGTGTATACTTAAACTCGACTCGGCGCGAAAGACGCCGCCAGAAAACCGTTACGAAAACCTGCGAGGAAGGCACGACACCCTCGCAAATTCATACCTCCGTGTGTTCCTCATTAGGAAGAGTAATTCGACGTACATACGCCCACGTGTTTCGCGTGTACCCGCGAGTTGCACGATCCGCCTGTTTCGCCATACCGCGCGAGAATCGATCGCGCTATCGAGTCCCGCTTAATCGGCGAAACGAGAAGGTAAGCCGAGATGGCGGTAGCTTGTGGCGATGAAAACTCCGCGATAAGCGACAAAGAAATGGATCAATTTTGTGATTTGACAATTCATTTGTCGCATTCACAGAATTCATATGAGAGAGAGAGAGAGACTCACGATCCATTTCGCGAATGTAAGACAAGAACGTATAATATTCAATAGTGTTCACATACGACGTGTATCTCATGTCACTCGTTTCGTCACGAGATGATTCCGTCCCTTCTCTTACCCGCGAGCCGAGCAAGGACCATCGTCCTTGGTGCTAGAGCCCTTGGCGCACGCTGCAGCGAATCAATCGTCGCGCCAGCGACGACTAATCCCCCGAATCAACGAAATTTCTCGGTCGTTTGGGGGCCGGCGGTCCCATTCCGCAAATTTCGACGGGACCTTGCGGCGGCAGGCGAGGGGCCTTCGGCACCCTCCGAAGGAACCCTCCGAGCTCCACACTGAGCTCCACACTCTCGACGAGAACACCGACAGCCGAAGTATGCACTAATTGGTACGGGCACACGCACATGGCGGCGGCGTTCCGCCGCCGACCGGAGCGAGATAGCGGCCAACGGCGCGAGCGGGACGCGCGACGTGGAGGGAGGGCGGGAGATATATCCTGAACACACCGTGGGTGCCCGTCTGAGCGCGCGGTGGAGGCCGTCCCCGCGGGCCCCGGACCGAAGTAAAATTCCGGAGCCGGGCGACACGGCGCGGCTCGTTAAAATGCTTCTGGGACGCTTTTGGGCGCGGGACGTTTCGCGTAATTGGTGATTAGCGATTAAAACGAACGGATGTATCCGCAGATTCTGACCGCTTGCCTCCCTCCGCTATCTCGCTCTGTGCTGTTTCCTTTTTTCCCCGGCGAGCCATAATGTTCGCGTAAGTACACACCGCGCGCTCGACGAGAGGTCCTCGACGTGACTCGTTTCGTCCTCGTCTCTCGTCTCTCGTCTCTCGTCTCTCGTATCTCGTATCTCGCAACGGTGGACGTTTCTCGCTTCTCGCAGCCGCGTTTTTCCACCGCTGACGAAGAAGAGTCTCTCTTAATCGTGCGACCGAACCGTCGTCGGGGTTACGTCGGTTTCCTCGTGGAGGTTTTTCTTTCCTACGCGGGCGTGCCTGGGAATCTGAGGATCGACTCGCGACAATCGAATCGCCGTTCGAACGGCCGGAAATTACGATCGAGCGGGTGGACGTTAATTCGCTGCGGGTTCTTTATGCCGGAAAGAAACGATCGTGCGTTGAGCGTTCGCGTTGCTCCGTAGAAAGCAACTCTCTTTTAAAGACCGCGGCCTCTGTTTCGGTTAAGCGCGACATCGCTCGCCGTGTTCGCAGCGGACGAGCGAACGTTATACGTCGTAATCAACCTCGTGGCAAATGGCGCGCGATTATTACTGACCGTACTGGCCGCGTTACCGCACGGTCAGGTCGCCATGTCCACGTCGCAAACAACGAATTTTGGAAAAATTGCACAACGCACGATAATTGCACGCGTCCAAGTGTGATATCGCGGCCGCGACGCAGCGACGCGCCGTCATAGTTCGCAGGGTAATTTACGCCAGAAAGCTGACTCGCGAGCGCGAGCTCAAACAATGGCAACAGTACTCGCGAGACAGACGGTAATCAAATTAAGTGTCGCGCGTCCGATTAAGGATTAATCACTGTAATATGCGATCTCGCGGCGATAGCGCGCTCCGCGGACAGGGCGCCTCTTATTATATTTCCGGTTCCACTGATGACCGTTATCTCAGAACCCGCGAGCGTCACCGCGCGCAGGATGCGCCTAAGAGGACGCAAGGAATGCACTTTGCGGCGGGATGTGGGACCGTCCGTCGCATACGTGTACATGGACTGTGTCCTCTTGTTCTCTCTCTCTCTCTCTCCCTCTCTCTCTCTCTCTCTCTCTCTCTCTCTCTCTCTCTCTCGGTCTCGAATCCTGACCCAAATACATTACGTCGCCGAGATTATCGCCCATTTTCCCTCCCACTTGTATGAGCGGACGCACCGCTCATAAACATCACGGTGAAACCTTGATCGTGCGCGACGACGATCCCACGACGTTATTTCCTACACCAGTTATCCGACTCGCCGTACGTAGGTAGCCGCTGCTCTCTCGGGTTCTACGTACTTGTTACAATACACGGAGCGGAGTGCTCTCTCTCTCTCTCTCTCTCTGTCTCTCTCTCTCTCTCTCTCGCCGGAGTCGGGGTTCATCGGCAATTTGAATAATTCTCTCCTAAGAACGGTTTCTCGTTTCGAATTCGCCTAACGCCGCGATCTAGCGCCGTGCGCGCGCGCGCCTTTTTCTCGCACACCGCGCACCTCGGCGATCTCGCTCCTCGTGTTGGAATGCGACTGTGAAGCCCGTTTAACGATACTTATATCAAGCCGCCGCGGTTTTTTCCCACGCGCTGACGACTGCAATTTTCGCGGGTGCACAATAATCGTAACCGCCGGCCACGGACGTGGCGCGTTTTCAGCTTGTACCGTTAAGACGCGACCGCGCGTCATGTGGTTATCGGATATCGATTTCGAGCATGAAGTAACGCGCGCGCGCGCGCGCGCGCGCGACGAAGCATTAGACGCGATCAGAAAAGGAGAGAAAAGGAGATTGCTTTGTGCGGTTCCTCATACATTGATTAGGAGATATAATTGCGTCCTGCGTGTATCGCGCGAGTATATCGGGCCTCGGTATTTTGGACGTTCATTTGCGGGAGGTTCTTTGTGCGCCGACAGAAACTTATCTCGTCCCTTCCCCAAGGTACTTTTAAAAGCCTGCTCTCGTGCGGATCCTGTTTCGGCTCCGATTCCGCGCTTGGTATCGTCCCCCCTCCCCTCCCTCCCGCGTGTCCTTTATATAATCAAGGGGACATAATTACGTTTTATACGTATGGACGATAAACCGAGTCACCGTCCCTCGGGCCTCGCAGAATTGTGTCATTGGATAAATTCGTCCAATTCGAGTGCGTATTGCCGATAATTGCCAATCAATGTTAAACACGTGCAGTGCACGTGAATTAAGTGAACGTCAATCTTGACTTTGAAAGATTGATTCTCGTAAACTGTACTAAAGATACGAGAGATCATTCAACGACGAGCACAAAGATCACATGTCGAAACGTGCAATCAAACTCTAATTAATATCAAACGATAGTCTGAAATCGCCGATTCGTGAGGAAGAGAGAGAGAGAGAGAGAGAGAGAGAGAGAGAGAGAGAGAGAGCCAGCATCGTACGATAAAAACGATCGGCGTCACGAGCACGGCTGAAGTCGGATTTTCGATGATCTAGATCTGGGTAGCACCAGGAAGCCGGGGATCGAAGGCAAAATTACCGGTGCCGGTGGAAGGAGGCCTCGTTCGCTCGCTTCGAGAGGTCAGAGGGCGATAGCGGTACCTTCCTCTCGGCGGAGGTAGGCTCCTCTCGTCCTACCAAGCACCGTCTCTATCCTCGCGAGTAGGTACTCCGTGTGTACTCTCCACGCTCCAGTACAAACGTTTCCCCATTGCGCGCGCTTAGCTCAGCTTGCATTCGTATTCGTGGACGAGGAATAAGCGCGCTCGCTCGTGTCCAGGGCCGAGTGTGCTCGTGGAACGAATACCTAACCTGAGCACGAGCGACGTGCCCGACGACTACGTGGCGCGGACCAACTAAGTCTCGTGGTGATGAAACGAGACGGCCCGTCGTGATGGAAGGTCCGCGGCAGCTCAGGGAGACCGAGAAACGGGGAGGGGGAGAGATAAAGAGAAGAAAAAGGTATGGGCGGGGGAGGGGGGGGGAGGAGAGAAAGATAATCGGGATATTAGAAGATATTCTCCCGCGGCGCTAGACGAAATTTGTCAAACAACCGGCGGATCCCAATTTGTTCCCGTGCGTGTCTCGGCCGCGCTGAAAGAGCCGTAGGTGGCTCCGAGATTGTTTCGCCGGACGATGAGTGGATAGTTATCC